GGTCATCCTCCGAAGGACACTTTCCCACCAGCTCCCTCTTGCAAGTACACATGCCCTTGGCAAAAAATTAAAAAATAAAATAAAAAATTTATGTGTGTATATATACATACACACACACTCTCTCTCTCTCTCTATTAACATCAAAACTAGTTTTCCTTTAGTAGACTACAAGATTATCATACCTCTTCAAAAAGGGGTGAGCTCAAAAATTATATTCACGATATATTCACACAGTAGAAATTTTCATGCCTCGATGTGCTTCCTGATCATTTTTAACAAGTACAGAGGATAGAAGAACAACAGATAATTTTGGCATAGAAAAATAAAAATACAGGGGAACCAGCAGTTAGCATAGTGGCTATGTCGCTGGACTCCCACGTAGTTGACCGCGGTTCGCACCCCGGACCCAGTGGCTTAAAACTCACACCGGGCGTGTGTGCGTGCGTGCCCAAGATCCCGAGAGGAGAATGGAGGAGAAGGGATTGCAGCGTGACCATCCCCCTTGGGGGGTGATTTCTCGCTTTCTGTCTCTATGTCTCTCTCTGTCTGGCGAGCACACGCACCCTATAGCAAAAAACCTCTCCCCCCAAAATAAAAGAAAAAGAAAAATACATCATGACTTTCCTGGTGACCTAATATAAAAATAATTCATCTTGGAGCTGGCAGGTAGCAAGGCGGTTAAAGGCGCTGAATTCCCACCTGGCTGACTGCCGTTCAAGTCCCAGACCTGGTGGCTTGCTTTCTTGCTTTCCGTTTCTCTCTCCCTCTGTCTGTCTGGTCAAATTGAAAAATATTAACAAATGGAACTAAATAAGTAATTTTTTTTTTAAATTCATCTTCTATAAACTCGGGAAATACGGATTTTTTTTTTCTGGTTGAAATGAATTTTCTGCCCCAAACCATGTATTAAGAATTTTCAATGCTTAAACTAGCAGGTAAGACTTTATCTTGAAATCATATACATAAACATTAGGAATGGAAAAAGCCTGTAATTTCTATCATAGCCAGATCTGAGTATGACAGCCCTGGTCAAAGGACCCATAGTCCAAAAGAAATCCAGTGGCTATACTGGGCAGAGAAGGAAGTCCACAGAAGGGGATGAAAAGTGAACAATCTTTTTTTTTTTTCCTTAAACAACTATTTATTTCACTTTATTTATTATTATTATTATTTTTTTTTTGGAGAGATTTTCACTGTAGGGCGCGTACGCTCGCCAGACAGACAGAGAGAGACATAGAGACAGAAAGCGAGAAATCACCCCCCAGGGGGGATGGTCACGCTGCAATCCCTTCTCCTCCATTCTCCTCTCGGGATCTTGGGCACGCACGCACACGCGCCAGGCGTGAGTTTTAAGCCACCGGGTCCGGGACACGAACCGCGGTCGACTACGTGGGAGTCCAGCGACATAGCCATTACGCTAACTGCTGGTTCCCTTTATTTATTATTATTTAATCTGACCAGAGAGAGAGAGAGAGAAAGGGAAAGTGAGAGTGCAAGCCACTAGGTGCAGGACCTGAACCACCGGCCAGCCATGTAGGAGTCCAACACCTTAACCACCACGCCACCTGCTGGCCTGGAAAAGTGAACAGTTGTGACCATCCTGGTTTTGCTTCAGAAGGATCCCTGGCAGTGAAAAGCACAATCTACCGATCTTAAAGTTTCTTAAGTTTGAAATACCTGAGGCAAAAGACTAAAGGAAGTCTTTTCCACATCATTTTTCTGCTGTTCCTCAAATCTTTTTACCAAGTTTGATACAAATTCCTCTATTTCTTGGTGATATTGCCTGTGTAAGATAGAGGACAAAACAGTTAGATCCTAGAAAGAATAAAACATTTAATAGTCTTATGCATTATTATAAGATATCACAAGTCAATTTTATTTATTTTTTTTATTTTAATTTTTTCAGAGGTTTATCAAGTGGCCAACTCTTTGTAACACTCAGAAACTTATTAGGTAAAGATACACATTGTTGTCATGATAACAAAATGATTAGGTTACCTAATATAGTCTTGGAAGAGAACAGTTGCCAAATAGTTACAGAGGTAAGTGGGTTTTACTTATACATTTTATGTACTTAATTTTTTAACAGATACATGTAAATGTTTCAAAACTCCAACAAGATACATAATGGAAACTTCCTTCCTACCCTGTCTCCTATTCCCCCATTTCTGCAACACAAAGACAGCGCCTGTGTTAGGTCTTCCGCAAAGTCAGGGCGTGTTTTTCTGTTTTTCTACATGGAAATGCGTCATGACTTTCTGGACGACCCAATATTCAGATCTTCCCCTCCTCCTACCAGAGACTCTTTATGCAATATAAGGAAATGCCATATAAATACGAAACTGGAAAAGCAAAAAGGGAAATGCAAGGAAAAGCACTGAGGCCTAGTCTCTAGCCCTCCAAGTCATAAGCCAGGCCCCTTAAGCCTGAGCTCAGCGCAGGTGTCAAAGCGGCCCGGATCTTGCAGGCTCCAGCAGAGCAGCCTCAAGTGTACTTCCACGTCTACCTGATGAACTCCTTTTCCTGTAACATTATAATCTCTGCATAGAAAACACAGTTATGGGATGTTGGGACTTAAATGGCTAACATTATCAGGGTTACAGTGGTAGTAGTAGACGCATTCATTAGAAACTATTTTATTGGGTTGGGGCTGGCAGGTGGCGTGGAGGATAAGGGCGCTGGGCTCCCACCTGGCCGACCACAGTTCAAGTCCTGGACCTGGCAGCTTGCTTTCTCACTTCTCTCTCTGTCCCTTTCTGGTAAAATGAAGTAAATAAGTAAATAAATAAATAAATAAAGCTAAATAAATTTTTTAAAAAAAGGGGAAAAAAATCAAAGAAACACTTTTTATTTATTTATTTATTTTTTGGCTCATTTAGTTACTTAAAAGAGGCAGCTGCTGCTAGGATCCCGTTTCCAGGGAGGAAACTCACTGTGAACGGTTCCGTGACCGCCCAGATTCATGAATGCAGAAAGGAGTCCAGACTTGAATTCCAGTCTGCATGTCCTTGCTCTTAGCATCATTTTATACCTTTAACTTCAGGGGCATTTTAAGTGGAATAAAGATGAAAAAAGTACAAAAGAAAACAGCACAATTACAGAAAACAATGTCTCATAAATGCATTATTCATGTTTAGAAAAGGTAGAAAGCACTTACTTTGAAATAGCATTGTTCATAAATAGAATCTGTAACAAAGGTCCATCTAACTTAGTATTGTTCACCAATATTCCACTGAAACAGAAGAGCACATCCTTAGAAGGCTTAAATGGAAGTGCACGTGGAGCACAAACACACGCCTGCTGCACTTCCTACATACGCGAGGCCATAAACAGCTTACAAGACTAAAAACGCCAACTCCATTTTCCTCAAGAAAAACCCAATTTTTCACCCTCCTACCTACTTTAATGGTTTTAAAGGCATTCCTTACCGTATTTTAAAAGCATTTCACAAAAATTTAAATAGTATAATTAATCTAACAGATTTTAATCAAAATGTTTGATTTTTTGCTAACGGCTAATTTCTTTAAAACTTGGGAGAGGTGGGAGGAATGGAGGGTAAGCCTGGATAAACCGGCAGTTATGTTTCTAAAAGAATTTGAATTATTTTGGCTTGAAAATATATAGGAATGGGACCAGCAGTTGGTGTAATTGGCTACATCGCTGGACTCCCCATGTAGTTGACCACGTATCAAGTCCCGGACCTGGTGGCTTCAACTCACGCTGGACACATGTGTGTGCGTGTCCAAGATCCCAAGAGAATCGAGGAGAAGGGACTGCGGCTTGGACATCCCCCATGGAGGGTGATTTCTCGCTTTCTGTCTTTCTGGCACACCCTATAGCAAAGACCTCTTCAAGAAAGTGTATTTAATAATATATCGGGAACCAGTAGTTAGCATAATGGCTATGTCGCTGGACTCACACGTAGTCGACTACGGTTCGCGTCCCGGACCGGGTGGCTTAAAACTCACGCCGGGCGCGTGTGCATGCGTGCCCAAGATCCCAAGAGGAGAATGGACTGCGGTGTGACCATCCCATCTGGGGCATGATTTCTCACTTTCTGTCTCTCTGTCTCTCTCTCTCTGTCTGGCGAGTGCACACGCCCTATAGTAAAAACCTCTCAAAAAAAAAAAATCATAAAAGCTTGAAAATACTATTCCACACAATAAATCTGTATTTGCATAAATACTTCAGATTTAATGACCTGCTAAATAAATGTACATTAAAAGATATAGTTATTTAATCTGTTAAAATCAGATGTTCGAATGCAAATCTACTCCGTGTACTTTTTTCAAAAGCACATTATTTTGTCTTCTTCTAAAATGCTTTATCTTGCATAGTTTCTCTTTATGTACACACTTCATTTTTAAAATTTTTCTTAAAGGTTTCTGCCATAGGGTGTGCACATTTTCCCGAGAGAGACAGTGAGAGGGAAAGTGAGAAATCACCCCCAGTGGAGACAGCCATGCCGCAATCCCTTCTCTTCCATTCTCCTCTTGGGATCCTGGGCATGCGTGCACAGGTACCCAGCATGATTTTCAAGCCACCAGGTCTGGGACTTGAACTGAGCCCAGCCATGTGAAGTCCAGCACCACCACACCACATGCTGGCCCCACGAACACATTTCAACTGTATAAATAAAACCTGAGCTAGAATTACACTAACCATAATACCAACTTCCCAGAAGTTTTTTTTTTTTTTTTTTTTTTTTTTAGGTTTTTTTTTTTTTTTTTTCTTTTTTAGGTTTTTTTCATAGGGCATATGCGCTCACTAGAGAGAGACAGAAAGAGAAGTGAGAAATCACCCCCCAGGGAGTAATGCCCCACCACAATCCCTTCTCCTCCATTCTCCTCTTGGGATTTTGGGCATGCAAACACATGTGCCCTGCAAGATTTTCAAGCTGCTGGGTTCAGGACTCAAATTGTGGTCACCCATGGCTACCCACACGGGAATCTAGCACCTAACCACCATGCCATCTGCTGGCACCTCCAGATACGCTTTTTAAAAATTATTTATTTTTACTTTTATTTATTTATTCATTTATTTTTACAATTTTGACCAGACTGAGAGAAAGAAAGAGAGAAAACAAGCTACCAGGTCCAGGACTATAACCGTGGTTGGCCACGTGGGAGTGTCCAGCACCTTAACCATCACACCACCTGCTGGTCCCCCAGATATGCTTTTGAATAGAAAACAGAAATAGCTGGGTTGACAACTTGCCTGTTCTGAACTTCTCAAAACATTCTGGACTGGGCCAACACGTGGCGTGAAGGTTAAGGCGGCTGGATCCCAGATGGTCAACTTCAAGGTTCAAGTCCCCAACTTGGTTTGAAAATCATGCTGGCCTATGAAGTAAATGGAGGTGACCTGACTGCAGCCACCCCCTACAGGGTGATTTCTCCCTTTCGCTCTCCATCCAGGGCACGCACCCTGTGACAAAAACTTAAAAATCTGTTTCATGCACTTATGACAATTTGGATTTTATTGCCACAAATTAAGAAGAAGAATTGGCAGGTGGCATAGTGATTAAGGGCGCTGGACTACCACATGGGGAACTGTGATTTGAGTCCCAGACCTGGGGGCTTGCTTTCTCATTCCTCATCCCCACTCCCTCTCTGTTCAAATTAAAATAAATCAAAAATAAAGTTAAAAAGAAAAGTCGCACACACAAAAAAGAATAAGGGACCATTTCTCTCTCATTTCTTCAAAGTGCAGAACAACAAAAAAAGAAAAAATCCTACACCTTCTTTAACGAGGAAGCTTTGAATAAATATTAAAATTAGGATAAACAACAACAAACAACTATGGTGTAATTTCAAGATGTCATACCTCGGTCGAGTCAGAATGTTCAATTTTCTTTTAAGTTCTTGATGTTATTACTTGTTAAAGAATATTAGCTCGCATGAGACACAATCATACAGATCATATAATTCTGCTGCGCTCCTCACTGCTGGAGCCAGACTGTTATAAACCTAAGACTCAAGGACAGTTTTCATCCCTCTCAACACACAGTCTAAGACACGATCCTGACGTTCAAAAGAGACTAACAGATTGAACCAAAAACGTTATTCAAACAACCGTGTACCAGTGCAAACTTTAATAGCCAATTAAGAAAAACTGCCGAGCCAAAGGGACACAGTGCGAGATAAAGGAAACGCAGCAGAGCCAGCTGTGAACGACCAAGGACCTCAGAACTGAACAGTCCTTTCAACTTTTCTGTATTTTGACATGTTCCATACAAAACCTCGAGGAAATCGGTATCGAGAAAAAACAAATTAGACTTCAGAAACCTTAAAGGCTGCTATCCCAACCACCGTCAGGATTCTTCCCTTGCTCTAAATGGGAAACTGCTGGAAGGCGAATGATCTGTCCATACAGTTTCAAAAACCGCTCCGGATGTAAACACACTAGCAATCTAGCGAACCTGGGACCCGTAACCACAGCCCGAGAGGAGAACCCGTCTTTGGCGCGTTTTTCCCGGAGCGCCGCCTGCGCCCCGCGCACAGGAGCCAGCGTCAGCCCCAGCGTTCGTCCCCCGCCGTTCTCCCGCCAGCCTCTAAGGTCCCCAACTCCGCATCTGGGGACCCCCAAAGGCAGACCCCGGTCTGAGGAGCCGGCGCTTAACATGCTGTGGCATGCCTGCAGCAACTTGAGCTTGGCTGCAAAAAATTTGCCAAGAATTCAAACACTGACCCCCAAGACGGAGAGGATCGTGACCGGCCCCAACCTCCCAGCTGGGCTGTCCCAATAACCCCAACGCCCGCACCCAGCTGGGGGGCCGGCAGGCGGGGCCCCGCTCACCCCGGAGGGAAAGGGTCGGCGCCCAGGCCCGGGCAGCCGCGCCTCGCGCACGCCCGACCCCCAGCCCCTCGATGGTTTCCTCGCACTGCCGAAGCCGCTCCTGCAGCTCCGCGTCGCCCACCCCGTTCTCGTCCTCCTCGTCGCCGTCGTCGTCCTTGAAGCGAGTGTGAACGGGCTTTGGAACCGACTCCTCCGGATGGTCAAACGCCTCGAACAGCTCCAGGTCGCCAAAATCCACCTCGGCCGCCATCTTGGGCTGTGGGAGAGATTCGAGAAGAGGCGGAGCCGGCCGCCGCGGCTCCGGGCCGCGGGCGGGGGGGGGGGCCGCCCCGCTGG